CTCGTACATTTCCAAATTAATTGATACGGAACACATCTGTTAAATTCGGTTCTTTGGGATCAGACTCGTATCAGACCCAAACTAACTTTGATAACAACAACGGCCTACATATAAAAATCGTGAAAGCAACTACTAGTTCGTATTAAAAGAATTTCAAAAAACGTGCATAGAAATTACCCTTAAAAAAGTAAATTACATTAAAGAAATATATGAGAAGGGAAATGACACTCTTACTCTGAAAAACTGTAAAAACAAATTTTAAAAATGTGTAGCCTATATTTGCCATATAATAATAATAATTTACTATTTATATTGCACAAATTAACATGTGGATATGATCAAATGTGCATCACAACACTTTTTCGGGGGACTTTGGCCGGACTACATCAGCAGTTTACAAACAATCGAAGGAAACTTGTTTGAAGATGCCCCCTCCCCTCAGTAAACAGGCATTTATTAGCTGCGGCCAGCTTATTCTTGATGCAAATAAAGAACCTACAATTTTCCTGAAATGCAACCCCTAAAATACATAGTTCTGGATGTTGTGGGATGTTCTGTACAGCTGTCTCTAGTACATTATTGTAGCCTTTCTTTTGGAACACCATTTCTTTACAGGTGGAAAAATTACATTTCATGCAATTATTGACCATTCTGTAAAGTTGTTGACTGCACGAACTGTATTATTGGTATCACCTTCCAAAAACGAAAAATTAGAGTGGAATCATCTGCATCCTTAGACAGCGAAGAGTTAGACGCTGGATCTGTATGCAGATCATTTATGAATATATAAAATAAATAGGGGCCACTAACACTTCCTTGCGTAGTGCCTTTGTTCACATCGATCCAATCACAAGCAATGTTTTTGTAGACAACCCCTTGTCTTCTATCAGTGAGAAAGCTTAAGTACCAATTTAAAATATACGGATTAAGAGGTAGGAGTTTTTGTCTAACCGATCAAGATATTAGCTCTGATAGGCCATTCCCCAAGGTTTTATCCGGTATTAAAACAAGGACAATCAATGAATCAAATAGCTTTGTCTGCTCTTTGGAGAAACCGAAGTATTTGCAGACTCATAAAATGTATAATCAACTAGTGGCTTTTGCTGACAAGTTGTCAAAATGAAGGTTCCGTTCTGATAGGTTATCCTGAAGTATCACACCACGTATTCTCAACCAGTTTTTCGTTCAATTCCCTGTATAATAGGCGGTAATGGTTTTATAATTTGGCCTCACGTTGTCATTTTCCAAGGTATAGTTAGATTTCATCTCGTGCTATTCACTCGCTGCCCCATCCCTAAGGTCCCCCACTAAGACTAAGGTCGCAAGTGAAGCCTAAGTTTCCATGTTCAGACCAAGGCCCCCACCTTAACCCTAAGGGGCCCAAGTGAAGCTCAAGACCCCAGGTCAAGGCTACCCTAAAGGCCCCATGCTAAGGCTAAGGTCCCAAGTTAAGCCTAGGGTCCCACGCTAAGCCTAAGGGCACAAGTTAAGACTAAGGCCCCACATTAAGGCCAAGGGAACCGCCATGATGACATCGGACACCACACCATAAGGTCAGGACACCGCACGCTTGGCGAACCCTAAAGGATCCACACTAAGCCTAGGGACCCACACTAAGCCTGAGGTCCCACGTTAAGGCCAAGGCTCCCACCCTAACCCTAAGGCCCCAAGTGAAGGCCAAGGCCCTACATTAAGCCCAAGGCCCCCAGGGTGAGGCTAACCCTAACCAGGGCCCCACACTAAAGCCTCATGCTAAGCCTATGGTCCCAAGCCAAGGCCCCACGTTAAGGCTAAGGGAACCGCCACAATGACGTCGGACACAGCTCCATGACGTCAGGACACCATACAATGGCGACAGGACACCGCATGACAACATCGGAAACCCCACGATGGCCTGGCCTGGACACCCCACGATGACGTCGGACACCACATGATGACATTAGGATACGGCACAATGACGTGGGTTTGTGAGCTTCTGCTTCACTTTGTCATTGGTAAATCAACCATTTTGGAACATTCTTTTACACTCATGACAAACTTTATTCTTTTCATTTAGTTCAAAATACATCTGAAAAATATTAACAATAGGAAATCTAGTAATCAGTTTCATTTAAAGTTGATCAATTGGTTGCAATTCCCCAAAATGCAAAGTCTGATTCTAATAATATATTAAAACATACAAGGCTGTATTGGCCAGTGATGTGGCCAAACCATAAACTTGCAGAAGTCTGTGTGATAGTATACAGTTGGCATTCTATTTACATCCAAATAGTTTTTTTGGTCATTTGGAATTTAAGCAAGAAAGCCAGATGTTTACAACTGGAGGTTCAAAAGCGAAGTTACTTGATGTAATTATGATTTTAGTTTCAGTAAATCATTTGGCTTACAAAACTTTTGAATGTGAATGAAAGCAAATAAAAAAGGTACTTATTTACAACTTTGTAAAATTTGATTAGGTGATAAAATGAAAAGCGAAACCTTAAAATTATTTCACTCTCAGTATTTGTTATAACTTGCATTTGCTTTCTGGTATCCTGATAGCTACATAATTATGAAGGAATTGGATTTCTTGTTGTATTCTAAAATGATAAAAAGATGCTGGTACTTCCTTTTTTGAAGGAGCTACATTTGGAGGCCTTGTCACACAAGCTTTCTGCCATAACATGATTGCGTGACAATCAGGTCAATCTCCGAAAATCTTGGTTGCCGAATTTAGACTAGAATCCGAGCTTCGCTTTAAAAATCATTTTCACAATCTTCCGTAAAATTCCTTAGTTAACGCTGCTCTTGTCAGCTGCTCTAAAATATGATCAGTAAAGCGAGGATGCACAATTTTAAGCTTTCCCTCGCATGCCACGAACGCCACAGCAGTACGCACTCTTGTTAAAGGTAGTCCTTCCAAATTGATATTGAAATGGTAATAGAAATGTTTCTTCAATGCCCCGAGAAATGTCACGGATTCTTCTTCCGTAAAAATACACGAATTGCTCACATGGACAATATCCCAAAGTTGTTTAGCATCCCTGCCCTCGATGCTGTAAAAGATTCTGGTGAGACCTCCCACCGATGATGCATCATAGCAAAGTTCGATTGTCGAAGATTTCTCAGGCGAACACATGCCAGCCCATAGCGAGAAATACCAACCAAGTTCCACAGATGAGAAAGTCATTGGGGTAATTCTACAATCTAACTGGCTTTGAAACCAGCTGATCAACAGTTTAGAGAAATTAACAGGCCCGTTGATTAGGCAGATAGGTAGACAGGTAAAGTGTTCTTGAAGTCTGGCGTCCTCCTCTTCCTCGCTTCCCACAGAGCAAAACATAGTTGACAAAATCGGAATAAACGGTTCCATTTCCTCCAGAGGCTTTGACGATGGACTGACGGTACTGCAGACCAATATTTTCACATGCACAGCTGAAAATTTTGAGCCTTCAGCTGAAATATCGTTATGAACAGAGAATTGCACTTTGAATTTCCTATCTCTTATATTTCCATTTTCGTCAAATAGGAGCTGTTTTTCCGTTTCTAGCTGTAGAAAAGCTGACAGTTGGTTCCCATAGGTCTCCAAAGATCTTCTGATCTTCCGATCAAAGTTGTGAAGAGGTGAAGCCTGATACACCCGCAGTGTTTTACCCACGATATCTCGAACTGGATCTTGTATCTGTTCAATATTTCTTGTATTCTTTGTAAGTTCATTAGTTGATCTCTTGTAATCCTTTGAATTTGATGTTTTTCTTTCGATTTCGGCCGATGTAATTTTCGATCGAAGGTTTTCTCTCGATCCGCAGTCACCGTTTGTGTGGCTTCGGGTAGTACGCCCTGTTTTTGGCGTTTTCACGTAGGGTGTATGTCTTCTTGAAAGCCAAGGAGTTCGATCAGACTTAAGATTTCTATTCCTGGCACTAAGGCGCGTAAACTTTCCCACCCTTGTAGAATTTACTGCAGATGTCGAAGGTGTTTTCAAAGTTTCTGCCATTTTTGAACGGTTTTCAAATCTTGCGCGCTTGGTCGTTTGTAGGGTTACCAAGCACAGAAGGAGCGGTTACTCTGCGTCTGGAACGAAATCGAGGTTGTTCTGCCACGTTGAGAATCGAGAGTGGACAAAAATGGTGAGGCATGAATTGTTTTGGCATTTTCCTGCATTATAATTGCTTCTAAGGAGCCATTTATTGAACCGGTAACCTGTTGTTTGAATGTGGTGTTCTTCTTCTTCATCATGAAGGTGTCTGTGCTAAATACAGTGGATACCTCACACGAGGATATGATCGTGAGTAAATGTCATAGAAGTTTCAGAATTCCCAGAAACGAGCGTAATTATTTTAAAATTGTCAACTGATTCGGGAAGTCGATCCTTCAAATGATAAATAATGAACCAAAGGACATGTGGGGTAGTAGTACTGACTTGTAAGCGGTTTTAAGTAGCGTCAAATGTATTCCATAACTCTAAAATACAACGATTTTCTTAATGGAAGTTTTGTTACACCAGCTAGTTAAATCTTAAACTGAAATAAAGAGAAATTTGTGAAGTACACAAAGGACTTTTTGATCGGTTTAAACGTTTCAAAAATAGCAAATGTAAACAGATTATAAAGAATAATTGTGGAATCATAAATCAGAATTTTTTCATAACTCTGTAAGCTAACCATGGTTTTTGAAAAACAAATTGCAGATCGTTTCTCACATTATCTTTGTTTATGATTTGTTTAGCATGATGCACAAATGGATTATTATGGCAAGAAGCTGGCAACATGCTCATCTGACCGGACAGTTAGGATTTTCGAGATCAGTGGGACAAATCAAACTCTAGTAGCCACTTTGAGAGGGTAAGTGTGAGAATCAGGTTGGTCGGTTGGTATTCCTGACCAGTCCGGTGTGGATGAATTTGACAGTAGTTGGAAGATAAGAAGTACAGGGTGGCCAGGATATCATGGAGGTGATATCATTTCATTAGAGTACAGTACATGTAAGACTGCAAACAATTTAGTTAAAATTTCCCAGGTAATTCACAAAGTTCACACAAACCCTCAAGCAAATTCTGATGTAGAATCAATTGATGCATCTAAACCTGTTTCTGGTAAATTATTGTTTCAATTTCACAAGACAGGGTAAAAATGCGAAATGGTTGACTGGCTACCAGCTAGTTGGCTGGTGACCAGCTCCTATTGACATCCTTGCCAAATGGCGATCTTTCGCAAAGTAAGGTTTTGAACCTTTGTTTTGTTTTACTCAAGTCATTCTAATCTGAATAGACTAACCCTTTCCGATGCAGAGTTGTCACAAGAAAAGGCTATAAATGTATGATCTGAATTGAGTGTGTGGATAAATGGAAGCATTGTTGCTTTGTATGAGATCATGCTCCCCAAGAAAAATTTGAAAGTCTGTTAGGGGTGGTTTCCAGCTGTTTGGGACATACTTTTGACTCTTTCAACTCTTTATAGTGATACCTTGTTGTTGGAATCAATTCAAAAATACATATTTTCTGTCTTTATCACAATTTATGTATAAGGCAACTCAAAATGGTCTGACAGCCTGTGGGTTTCTTCCACCAGATTCTAATGACAACCCTTAAAATCTTCTTAGTACAATATATTGCAACATTACATCTAATTTTGTGGGAAACATATAACTGGTTTTAATTTTTGAATATGTAAGAAGTAGAAAACAGAAATTGGTTAGGTTGACAGCTGAATGGTATAGTTAAGGTACACATACCCTCAGCAGCTGTTGGCTCCTGTTTGCATGCATGACTTTGTTTTGGGATGTTTTGGGATACACAATGTATAGCATTTCAAAGCCTTTTTTTATTACTATGTGGGAGTATGTGGTGCTGAAAGCAATAACTCTCTATCAATAGACATGAAGGACCAGTGTGGTCAGTGAGTTGGGCACATCCTAAGTTTGGAAATCTCTTGGCTTCATGTTCATATGATAGAAAGGTGGGTGGATTTTTCATCTTTCTTTTTTTTGTAAAAAGATATTTATATTTACCTGTCACACCTTAACGTCAATATTCAAATTCTCCATACAGTTCTCTATACGTAATAGTGCTTGTTAGGAGAATTTGTCTAACAATCAAGAGCTTCTTGAGTGTGCAGTTATTTCCTATATTCTCATAACGTTAATGTTTGGTTAAGGGGTGATACTGTTAGGAGAAACAAGATGCTAATCTTAGGGATTAAAGGCAGGGCCGTGGTCTAGCAACACCTGGTGGCCCCTGGTGCCTTACTTTTGCTCTTGGCCGACTCAGGAATCTTCGTTTTTTCAAACAAAACATATGGTGGGCACCCTGGATTTAACAGTTTCAGAGCACTGGGCTCCCTTCAATTTTTCTTAGACCATGGCCTTGATTAAAGGTTCATAGTAGAATGGCAACACTTGAGACCGCAAGTCACAAAATGAACATTTAACTTTAATTGTTCAGGTTATTTTATGGAAAGAAACAAGTAATGGTTGGACAAAGCTTCAAGAATTTTGTAATCATGATTCGTCAGGTATGCAACAAGTTTGATTTTTAAATAATATGAATATACCAACAAAGTTGTAATGGTAAATTTGCCACCGTTATGATTATAAAAGTTGACGTTTTGAGCGTTAGCCCTTCATCGGAGCGAAAAGGGGAATTGTGGGTTGTGTGTGCTTTTAAAGGCAGAAAAAGGAGCTCTGACGAAGGGCTAACGCTCGAAACGTCAGCTTTTATAATCGTAATGGTGGCAAATTTACCATTTCAACTTTGTTGATACATTCAAATTATTTCTTTACCCCCATCAATGCAGCCCCAAACAGTTTCTTTAGAAACTATCAGCCTTTATTGATTTTTAAATAAATGGGAACGTGTCAAAGTATGGAAAGTTAACTTCCCTACATGTAAACCTGATCCCTCTGCTTAGCTTGTACAGTATATGTACCTCTGAACAATCATGGTCAGCACAAACAATGATAAAATTGTTTGTAGCAGTTTGGCAGATATTATGGTGAAAAAAAAAAAAAAAACAAAAACATTTTTTTACATGATGAATGTAAAGAGAGCACGGACCAATACAGGACATGGATATTTGTGTCCATGCTTTCTTGAGCTTGCATATAAATATGGATACATACGTCCTTTTCTTTTAAAGGGTTGTTATAATTTGTTTTTTTGTCCTTTTTTCAGTAAATGCTATATCCTGGGCTTCTCCAGACTATGGTTTGATGCTAGCTTGTGGGTCATCTGATGGCTCCATCTCTATCATAAGCAGTTCAGGTGAGAATCGTGTTACCTTTTCAAGGCTTCTGTAGTAAGTTTGAATGCTACTGAAGAATTTGCAATTTGCATTCGTTGTGTTATGAGCTTTATTCTTAGAGGAGAAGTATTCTCCTAAAAAATATTACCTCAGTGTGCAACTAAAAAGTATTTGGAGAGTCTAACAGACAATGGTAAACATCAAACAGGTACAGCTGTACATTGTACATTTAACAATATTATTTTGCTGGAATGGACATTTTCCCATCCTCAGATTCCAAAACATGTTTTATTCTGTCTTATCTTTAGGTGATGGGCAATGGGAAACAACAAAAATAAATAATGCACACACAGTAAGTATATGTAATGTCTAAATATGGATGTTATACATTGTGCTCTGTTGCAACAGTTAGCTGCAGTGAACAAATGGTAAACACCACAGCGTACACTATTGAGTTATGGGCAAATGGGGGGACACTAAATTGACCAATCAGAGCGTGCGCTTAACTTTGGTTATGTTATAATAATTATTGTAGCACTCATTGCTGTGTGTTGTCTTGATATGCGTGGGTCTATGCTGTCAAGTCGTAGCTAGTGAGTAAGAGTAACACATGATGCTGTTCACATGCAGGGCCTTGTTTGTGATCCTGTGTGTTGTAATTGTCATGTACACATCTGTTCAATTAATGTGACCCTCTAACTCTCATGAGTGATCAAGACAAAATTTCTCCTTACCATATCAATACAACATCAAGCAGACAGGTGATGAGAATAAAGAAAAATATCAATTAGGGGATTTTAGATTGATCCAATACAAAATTCTCCTAACTCACATTATGAGAATTGAATGGCAGACAGCAAGGAGAATTAGTAATGAGATCTTGGGAGTGAAAGAGTTTTGTAGTGTTACAGCAACTGAACATACAAGGTGATTTGGTTTATTCAACAGAGTTGATAATGTGAATTTGTCAAGAGATTTTTCACTCAGATGAAGGGCTAATGCATAAAATGTTGGCTTTAGTATCTCCTCTTACAATCCATGAGAAGGAATTTTTTTTCCTAACAATGTCCATAGATACATTTTCAAGCAGAAAAGTGATTACTCCAGTCCTGAGAGATCTTCACTGGCTCCCTGTTTCCCTTCGCATTGAATTTTAAGTTATGTTAATTACCTACAAAGTGCTACATGATTGCGCTCCAATCTATATACAGGAACTCCTTCAATTGTATACACCCAAGCACAATCTTAGATCCTCTAATAAAAATCTATTATTTAAACTCTTTTTTAATCTCAATTCATATGGTAAACGAGCCTTTTCTGTTGCTGCTCCAGAACTTTGGAATAACTTACCTGAGGATATTAAATCTGCAAACTCAATTAACGATTTTAAACGCAAACTTAAAACATTTAAGAATAAACACTAGCGAGAAAAACACACAACGTTTCGATGACTCCATGTCATCATTCTCAAGTGAGAAGAGAATAAAAATGAATAGTTAATTTATACCGTACGAAGGTGGCAAACGTAAAAAGTTTAAAATATTTAAAATATTTAAATAAATAATTGCGCGTGTTGAGTTCATAAATGTAAACTATTAAATAAATAGTTTCGCGCGTATGGAATCCGATTGTTTGTTCAAAGAGGGCTTCATCTTCTTTATGAAAAGCATTTCATGAACTAAACAGTCCAGTTTCCCGGTGCACTTTTTAAGTACGTTGAAATGCTTGGTCAGGTCGCCGATGGTTTGTAGGCCGTGGTCGTTCTTTAGATGTTTGCCGATGGCCGAATTACGGTGCTCATTAATACGTTGATGTAAATGCCGGCTGGTGTACCCGACGTACTCTGCATCACACAGATCACATTTATAATTATATACAACGCATTGTTGGCTAACTATAGGAGGTTTAGGCTCACGTACTCTGAGATCTTCACAGATTTTGCGACTCTTGAACACGGGATGAAGGGTGTGATCGATTTTGTTGCTTAGATCTGATAATTGCCTTTTCACTGCGTCAGCTGACTTTTGATCTTTAAAAGGCAAAACCACTCGGTGAACAGCATTTTCGTTGA